AAAAAAAAAAAAAAAAAAGAATTAAAAGCTTAGATGGTAGAAACACATGTTTATCTATCAGTAAAAAGAATTTGGCTGTGCTCTTCCTGTCACACAAAAGCAAGTAATTAACTATTTGCTCAAAGAGGAAGCCCCTTCTCAGAAAAGGAAGGGCAGAGAGAGGACCAGGCAGAGACAGGCCCACCCCTCACAAAGGCCCCTCTGCACCTGCTGGCTGCCACCTCCTGGGAGCTGGAAGACAAAGGTCTTGCAATGTGCCAGCTCTGAGGCTTTGGGGTCAGGAAACTGGTACACTCAACTGACACAGGACAATTCATGAATCTGAAGAGAAAGCTTCTAAAAGATTTGGAAATAACTGAAAGTCTTCTTTATCCCAGTAAGTTAACATGGCTTTTTGGAAATTGAAAAAATGCCTATTTGGAGGTTTTGTGTTGTATTTGAAATTTTACTGTATATATAAGATATACAAATGATGCTTTCATGTAAATATACACAGTGAAGCAATTACTACAGTCCAATAAATTACACAACCATCATTAACATAGTTTCTTCATAGAGGGAAGGGGAATGACAGTACCTACAATCTACTCTCAGCAAATCTCCAGTGTGCAATGCAGTATTACTAACTACAGTCCTCATGTTGTACACGAGATCTCCAGACTCCCTAGTGATCTGAGATCACTGTATCTTGTACCTAAACAAGAAAGAAGGGGTGCTAGTTGAAAGAAGGTTGAATATCCTATAGGTGAAATGTATTGTTCTGCCATTTCTAGAAAAACTATTTAGAACGAAAAAAAAACAGACTAAAATTTCTTGCCAAATAAAGTTAAAGCAGAACAGTAAATCAAAACTACAGAATAACAATCAAATGAAACCAGAGGGAACAGACAGAGGCAAGATGAAAACCTGGAGAGAACGGCATCCTGAAAAACAAGGCCTCAGCTGGTTTCCGTGGGTGAACAGGCAACAGCAGCAAGAGCTGCTGAGTGGTCGAGGAAAGGCACTTGAAAACAGTCACAAAGTAAAGCAGTGGAAGGTCACCGGGGCCATCAGTGAAAGCCCTGAGGTGGAGCAGGAAGGGAGGAAACTGAGGCAGTCCTCAGGTGGAAAAGCCAGTGAACTAAGACAGATGAGCGAGAGCGAAGCAGACTGACCTGACAAGAGGACAGGGGCTTCCTGGAGGCTTCTGAGAAGCTGGCTCCAGAGCCCCAGCCCTTCTGCCTTCACAGGCATTTGGCCACTCAGTCACCCAGGGCCCCATATTCTGAGAGACCCACCCACCCTTAGTTTAATGTTCTGTTGGCACCATCCTCAAATTCTTCTTTTCTTTTTTTAAGAGACAGAGTCTCACTTTGTCGCCCTCAGTAGAGTGCCGTGGAGTCACAGCTCACAACTCCAGCTCTTGGGTTTAGGCGATTCTCTTGCCTCAGCCTCCCAATTAGTTGGGACTACAGGCACCCACCACGAGGCCTGGCTATTTTTTTGTTGCACTTTGGCCAGGGCCAGGTTTGAACCCACCACCCTCAGTATATGGGGCTGGCACCCTACTCAGAGCCACAGGTGCCGCCCTATCTTGAAATTCTTAATAAACTTTGAACAAGGGGGCCCATTTTACATTGGGCTTCTTAAGTTATGTAGTCAGTCCTAGTCTAGGGGAGAGGTTGACCTCAGCCCTGGAAAAGGCAGCTCTGCTACCGAGGTGAGAAGAGTGGGATAGAGAAGCAAGGTTAATGCTCCTCACCAGCTTCTTCTGCAAAGCAGAAAGACGGCTATCTGCTGTGAACAAGCCAGAGGCCAGAATTGGAGAGAGGTTAAAACTTCATGTAAGGTGGAGAACTCTGGTAGACGTGACCTTAACCAAATGCTAAGGTTGACAGCACCTGTAATAAGACAAATCTACATCACACACCTGACATGACATACTAAGAAGGGCACAAGATCACCTTTGTGCTACTTACCATTCTTGTCAGAATGCAAAACTACAATGTAATCACAGAAAACTCAAACTAAGAAATTTTACAAAATAGCAAACTCATACTCAAAAGCGTCAAGGTCGTAAAAGACAAAGAAACACACGGAACTGTCACAGATAGAAGACTAAGGAGAAATGACAATTAAATGCAGTGTAAGATCCTGCATCATCCTAGAACAAAAAAAAAAAAAAAGATAAAAAAAACCTAGTGAAATTCAAATAAAGTCTGTAATGTGTAGTACCATATCAATATCAATTTCAATGTTGTGATCACTATACCATGGTTAAGATATTGAAATTAGAGGAAGTGGGCCAGCGGTGGCTCACATCTATAATCCCAGAACTCCGAGAGGCCAAGGCGGGTAGATCACTTCAACTCAAGAGTTCAAGACCAGCCTAAGCAAGAGTGAGACCCTGTCTCTACAAAAAACAAAAAACTGAGGCCAAAGGACGGCTTGAACCCAAGAGTTTGGGGTT